TTGTATATTATTAATATTAGTGGGAGTCGTTTCAATTTTGTTAACGTATTGTAATTTCAGATTTTCCGTTTCTTCTAATTTCATTGTGATTTCTGCTTGTTCTAGTTTGTCTACTAGTTTTCTAAAATCTAAATCGGGTTCTCGAATTGAAGAAGGATGTGATGCTCTCTTTTTTATTGCTATTTTCCTTAATTGTGGTGTTAAGGTCATCATTAAGATTTCTGTCATCTTAGTGTTTTTATAGTCATGTGTATTTAGTGAATATGCTTTTCGAACTAGTGTTTCGATTCTTACTGCTATTTGCTTGATGGTTTCGTTTGGTAATCTGCGAATTTCATTACATAAAACTCTTTGTTGTTGTTTGTTTCTTTCGGAGTCAAACATTTTTGAAAATTCTTGTGTAAATCTTTTCCAGTTTGATTTTATTTCTTGAGGTAGTACTGAAAACCATTTTTGGGCTGCGCCATCTAAGGTTGTTTGTATCAACGCTGTGCGTCGATGTATCCAGTTTTGATGTAGTGGCGTGTTAATTGGTTCAGGTCCAATATTTAAAATTAAATTTGCTGTTACTGCATTTAGGTAATCTTCTACAGAGTATTCAGGGTCTGTTCCTGTGAAAACCATTAAGGGTTTATTTGATGTTATTGATGATCCACCCATAAGGTATGGATTCATTGTCATTTGTAATGATTCAGCTGCATTTGGCATTTGAGAAAATTTTGAAAGTTGGTTTCTTGTTATTTCATGTTGTTGAAGATAATACGGGAGTGGTATTTCATTTTGCATTTGTGATGGTTGATACGAGTGTGTAGTCATTGGATTTTGTTGTTGAATTGGTTGAAAAGATTGTATATTAATTGGATTTGGTTGTTGAATTGGTTGTTGATATTGTGCATCTATTGATTGTGGAGAAAAATTTCTATGGTTTGTACGTGTTTTCTGTATTCCTTGTCTACGATATTCTTGAGTATTTGGTGCAAATATATCTGGTTGTAAGAAATCTTCATCTGAGGATAAATAATCCATTTGATAAGATGTTTGTTTTTTATTTTTATTTTGTTGAAAAAATGGGTAATTTTCACTGCGATCCTGTGGAGGATTTGGTTGAAAATTTGTGGAATTATATTGGGCCGTTGGGTTATCCCAGTTTCGAGGTTTTGTATATTGATTAAAATTTCTTTGTGGTTTATAATTTGTTTTTGATGGATGTGTATAATTATAATTATGGTCTGCAAAGTTGTTTCTAGTGAATGTTTTGCGTGTTTTTGATGGTATTGTCATGGGTTTGTATGTTTGGTAATCCATATGTGAATATTTAGGGGCAACCGAAGGTTTAACGGTTGATTGTAAGGTTACCTGTGTTTGTGAAGGATTTGTATTTCTTGGTGTTGTTAAATTTGGGCGTATTGGTGAAATACTTTGTTGTGTAGTTGTTGTGTGTACAATTTCTTCATTTATGAAGTGTGATGGTGTCTGTATATCTTGTTGAGTAAGATTCCTAGTTCCATTGAGGTTTTCATTGTGTATGACTGTAGAGTTTAAACTATTATTTTGTGTATCGGGTAAAAATGTATTATAGTTTAATGGTGTTGCATCAATTGTTAATGGTATTACTCTTACATAATCTCTTATGTAAGATATTGTACCTATTGCTTGACTTGAGATTGATTGTGGAAAGTTTATAAATACGGGATGAGACCATTCGGGGTCCCAAACATAATCTGATTGTTCTGTGATAGCTGTATCATCGTTCGAGTTTTGGGGTCTAAAATTTTTTCTTGCTTGTGCAATTAAATCAATATTGTGTGTAAAATAATCTATTATGAACCATGCTAAAATTTTTTGTAAATCGTGTTTGGTATGTTGTGAAACGTCGTCTTTCGTGAAATTTTCTTTAATGATGTTTAAATAACTAGAGAGTAGTGTGATTTCATGTCGTACTCTTAAATGTTTAGATGTTTCTGTCGGTGAGACATTTGTTAATGGGAGTTCATTTTCTAATATCGAAATATAACTATATATTAGTGCGAAAACTTCATTGGTGAAAATGGAGTTTGCTCTTTGTGAGTTATGGTATTGTATGCTTTTTATATATTCTGAAAAAACTTTTGAAAATTCTAAATCAAGGTCGTCTGTTTGAATAGTGTATGTTCTATTATTATGGTTTGGGGAAGTGAATTCTATAGAGTAGATTCCATATTGTTGTGTTATGTTGCATATATCTTTTAGATAGTGATCTATGATTTGTCTTTTGATTTTTACATCGGGGAACTCTGTTTTACATGGACTGATTCCGGGTTCAAATAAATTTACGAGTAAATTTTGACAAAATATGTGTTGTCCTCTATCAGTATCTGCATCTACTATAAAAGGAAAGATTTCATCATCATCTGGAGTTTCGTCACCTGGGGTGTGCGTTGAACTCATTTTTTCGTTCGATGACTGTTAATATGTAATTATTAATGTGTCGAATTGGTTGATTCCAGTTGTATAGATGTACTGGTTTGTGTTTATACTGCTTTTTTATTCTTCTTTTTCCTCTTTGTGATGAATTTGAAGTTGTTTCTGAGTCAGAAAAATATAATTGATCGTGTTGTGGGTAATTTTTATCTATTGATTCTTTTAGTTTGTAGAGTTCGTCTAAACTGTTGGTTTCTGATTCTGAAAATGCGTTTCGATTTTTTGAAAATCTTTTTCGTGTTATTTGTCTTTGTTTAGTGATTATTTTTCTCTTTAGTGTTTGTCGTTTTGTTCGAATGTATCCAACTGTTTGTGTATGAGGTGTGATTACAAGGTCGTATTTTTTGTTATCTATTTCACAATTGTGTAAAACGATTGTTTGTTTATTCCCTAGGTTTTTAAATGACATAAGGTTTAGGATGACGGGTGCAAAAGGTTGTTAAATGATTTCTATTTTCCTAAACTGTTAGTTCTTACGATTTTTTGGTTAGCTTAACCTGGGTCTATTTGTTTAGGGTTGGAGAGAAAAGTATATCGATTCCGAAGAATGATTTTTACTTTCTCGTGACTAGTATAAGCTAAGGTGTTAACTTACTTAATCTTACTTAGGGGTAGTGATTGTGTTCAAGGGTTGGAGAATAGTAAATCGATCCACAAGGTTCAGGTATAATTAGAACGCGAGTAGTTCGTTAGATACTATTTTAAACTTACTAAGTCTAAGATTTATCCTGGGTCTGGTAAGAGGGGGGATCAAGTGAAGGATGAATAACCGAAGTTCTTCACTGTTTATCCTAATTTGAATGATTAGTTTTGTTTAAAAATTTCTATTAGTCTTGGGTCTTTAGAAAGGGTTGGGTAGTGAATCGACGTTTGAGGTCGTTAGACACTAATTAAGTGGGTGGGGGAGAACAAAGTTGTTCTGTTTGATCCAAGGATAAGCCTTGATGATCAAATTTAAAATGTAATGAAGTAGAAAATGATTTAAGATCCAAGGATAAGCCTTGATGATCTGGTTTTAAAATTAAGTGACTTTAAGTTTTAATGATGTTTTAAATTTGTGTAAAGGAAAGATTTAGTATTTTATGATATTAGTGAGTTGATGATTGCTGTTATGTTTTAGGTGATGAAGCTGGAACAACAGGATGATTTATGATTACTAACCATTTATTGTCATGCTACTAATTTTTATTTTTATTTTCCAATAAATATTTTTCAAACATGTTTTGTATAATACTGCAGAATTTTAGGAAAACGATCTTAGATCTTTTTATCAATCGTTATTGTATAATATTAATTTTGTTTAGCGCCTGAAATGATTTTGAAGATTTACTTCAAGGTTTTATGTTTGCAAATGGAAATCTAAATTCATTGCAAGTAGTATTCGAAATATAAAAGTTTGTTCTGGCTTTTGCCGAACTATCATGTAACTATACGGCAAGTTTCTACTTTGTCGTATGTCGTCTTTGGTTCGATGTCTTCTTCCAATTCCGGGTAGTTCTATTATGGTTCGGAATATTGGCTCGGATCTATTGAGTCGGAGAGACATTTCAATTAAATTATTGTCGTATAACATTTTGTAAATGTTTTTGTCTAATTTCTAATCTAATTTTGGTTAATTCTAATCTAATAAGGTCTTGTTCGAGACTTATGGTCGCACCAGATGAGTTATGACTGGAGTGTAACTCATAGAGTAATTTCGGATAGGGTACACCGTCTGCTCGTCACGCTATCTTATTTTCGGCCGGATAGATTCGTGCAACTTCTTAGTCTAATACCGATCCTAATCTTACTCTTATACTATCTAGTCTCAGGTTGTTTAACTAGTCTCTGCTAGGCTCAATAGATCTAGGGTATACTGGTTTATTGCGGCTGCTGAAGTGCTCGGGAGAGTCCAACTAATTTCTAAGTTAAATTCAAATCTCTCTGGTGCTGAAATTACAAGTAACTTCAGCACTTACAAATAAGTGGGTTGTTAGTTAGATGGATCATGATTGGTTAATATTAAATACTTTACATTGGTAAAACATTTAATTTATCCAATCATAAAATATAGTTTAGATCAGGTTCCAATAGATATAAAAAAAAACACAAGGTCCGGTTCCCGGTCTTCCCCATCATTTTCACAAGGCACGCACTTCACCACTAGACCACAAACAAGGGTTTGGAAATTACTGAGGTTCCAAAATAAAGGAAGGTCAATTTCTTAATGATCCAAACAGGAAGGTCAAATTCCAGTTCCCGATTACAAATACACTTGCTCTCGCAAGTGAAAAAACCTGAAATGAACTCAAGACAACAAAATCAAATTTGTCCGAAATCAATTATTTGGTGTTTGGGTCACTGCAATCAATGTTTATATACGTATCAATATCATTGTGTCAATTTAAACTGCAATCAATGCTAATACATTGATCGCAGTTTAAATTGACACAATGCAAAAAAAACTGATTTCGGATAACTTCGATTTTCACTTCTTCAGTTCATTTCAGATTTCTATAGTTTTCAATTTTTCAATTGATTTCCCAGTAAAGTCATACAACCTTTCTCATAGTTCTCATTGGCAATTGAGAGTGACTCTTTGATTCCAATTTTCACATCTGCAGCTAGCTCTGCTGTCATCACATGTGTTTTGAACCCATACTTGGAAGAGATCAGTTGTGCCTCAGTCCAGAGGAGTATTTTGTCATTGGGAGCGAGATGTTTGGCCGATGCTTGGGCCAGCTTCTCCTCCACACGTTTCAGGGCGTAGATCCTAAAATCAAATAACTGAATAACTACAGGACAATAAAGTTGAATTCTTTTGCTAAATCCTGTCATTTTTACCGCTGCGTGCTTTGCTGTTGATTTTAGTTTCATCTGTTTGTAATTTACACTTCCAACACCAGACGAATAGTGTTTTGAATGACTTCTAAGAAAATTATTGAGCCCTTTTTTATACTGTTCTATGGATTCAGTTGATTGATATTTTTCCATTATATTCACTTAAATACGAACTTAAAAGCGGTCGCGTCGGGTTTAAAATCAAAGGATGGATCAAACCCAACTGTTCAGGCTAATTTGAAACGCGTCAACAGAAGTCCATTTGGACAGGAGTTGCTACAAGTGCACGAAAGTTTACTTTTTACCATCATTACGTTGAATTTGTTCAATATATTTGCTTCATTTGTTGGAGGAGCAAATTGGAGTTTGCAATAAACACTACAGAATAAATCTGTTCACTAAAACATGATTAAAAATCTCTTGAGTTTTCTTTATGAAATAAACATTTAGTTTGTCTTTGATTGCAAGATTTGATCAAATTTTGTCTTTGATCAAAGTTTGCGAAAATAGTCCCGCTCTGATTGAAATCAAAGATACCAATTTTACCAATGTGAACCAATCATCCAGTCAAACTGGTACTATACTAAGTGAGAGAAACAGGCAATGAACGAGTTTGGCAGAAAAATCAACTGAACGAAATCCTCGAGGGATAAAAATTATACAATGAAATAAAGGACGAAAAATTACACTTTTTGGCCAGTTGAAAGGTTGATTGGTTGAATATTTTCAGCTACTCAGCCTTTACCATCTCACTATCCAGCTTTCCTTCCACTCCAAGAATGCATTCAAAAGTAGTTTTCAGAGAGCTGCATAGTTCAAGACATATTTCTTCTACTTTTGTGGCGTTTTGATTCATTTAGCTGATTGCGTTTTCAGCGAAAAAACAAAATTTACAAATAAGTTTTTTAACATGACCATCGCACAAATATTTGGGGGAAACTTTTGTTTTACACATACGAACAAAAACTATCAATAAGCCAAACTGCAAAAACATCGAAGATTGACACGAAAGAAATCGCTAACAAAAAATGTTTATACCAGGCCAAAGACTCATTATTGCGACAGTTTTTTGTGAAATTGTATTTCGTCAATATTGGGTGGCAAACAACACAAGCCAAGCTATAGCTTATTTCGGTCACTTTCTGTGACGCAGTCGGAACAAATAACAACAACAAGTCTTCCTGTTTTTTTTTCTAGTTTCGCCAGCTAACATCTTGACTTCTGAAAATTCATTTTATTGTTTTTCGGCATTTTTTCTCAGACAAAAAGTTACAAATTCTATGAAAACTCCAAGGAAACCGTTCTTTTTTTAAAAAAAAACTTGTTTTATACGATTCACTCAGCAGTTGATAGAATTCTCCATTGATTACTGTGAGCTTGATATTGAATCTAGTACCTTTCAATAGGCGAAACTTTCTCTTGTCCATGAATCGGATACTCGTCCAATACACTGGGATAATCATCGTGAGATCCGAACTCAGTAAAGAACAAACTCCCCTCGGTTGCTCTACCATAGACACTAGCTTGAAGTTTACCATTCAGAGCATCCTGATTGGTCAACTCTCCCGTGTTCTGACCGGTTAGTTTGCCAGCCAACCATATTTCGCATCCCCGGTAGAATGTGACAAATGAAGTTGTGCTGATGTCGGACACTTGGAGTTCGGGCATCGATATTATAATATTGCGCAGGAGAGGTTGAGAATAGGAGAGAAAGTAGTCTAAAAAACAACTCTAGACATGAAGTTCAAATGCCACATTGAGGCATCACAAACATAGTAAGAAAGAGGATTGCTGGAAAAAAATGAAAAACATCAAAAATTTTAAATCTCTCGAAATATAACAGAAGCTCATTGTCGTACATATTAAATATAACAGAAGCCCGTTTTAAAGAAAATATACATAACACTGGGAAAACTAATTTGATACAATTACTTATGATCAGTAATGTCCAATATAACCAATTGGTTAAAAAATGGTTTGTTAAACTGATTTGACCAATAACCAATTGGTTAACCCGATTTGATTGAAAACAGGTCTTATTTAACCAATTAATATTGACTCATATGTTAGTTTTTCAGTGTATTCTGAATCTAAGTATTCTGAATCTGAGTGTATTCTGAATCTAAGTAAGGCCAAGGAATCATTTTTTTCCACGCCACTCCAAACCTTCACTCAGTCGTGCTCCATCAATGGATAATTGGCAATTTTGGCAATTGATTCATGAATTAATGGTTAAAAATTGGTTTATCTTTTTTAAAACTGGACATCACTGGTTATGATAGCGAAAAAAAAAACGTTCTTGATTTGCATTAATTCGGCATTAGTTGAAAGTCGAAATATACCCAAAGTCGGCCTAAAAGGTCGAGTACGTTCCGAAAACAGTTCAAATACAAGAAGAAAAAATATTCTAAGCTTATCGTTGTTATTGTAGCTACAACTATCTCTAAGCCGAACTTCCTATTGAATAGGAAGATCGACTATTTTGGAATAATAGAAAAATTGTTAGCGACATTATGCTTATGCCTGGTCATGGTAATGTCATCTCGTCGTCAGGCCTGCAGTTCCCTCACTTTTTCTAGCGGCAACACCGACGTACAAGGAGAAATGCCCTTTCCAGAGAGATAGCCTTAACTAAATAAGAAATAAGAGAAACGAACTATGCTAAGACAGGCTGCAAGGCCTTTCATAGATCCTCAGCGAATCTCAGAAATGGCAATTAATATTTATTATTTTTAACGTGGTGGTTTCGAAGCTTTCTCAGTAGCACACTCAAGAGAAAGACGTGGATGAGAAAATGCTATATGTTTTTCTTTTAAGCAGAGAGCTGAGTAAATTACAAGCTGAGCTATTACATGGGAAGCGGGAATTTCCGAGAAAGCGAGGAGACCCAAAAAAACTCCCGTGAATGTGTGTAATTAGTGGCAGAAGTCTGGCAGCTTCCTCGGTATTCTCCCACAAGATTTCGATGGTGCGCATGCCATTAGCGCATGAATTGAAAACTCAACCAAAATCAAGTTCCCAAACTACATAACTTCTAACTTTAAACTCAAAACGCAATGCTACTAATTTGCCTGAATTCAGATCTCATAGATGTCTTCAAACTAAAAACTAAGTATTTCAAATGTCACCCTTTTTCTAAACGTTCTAATTTCTTCTGTTTCTCTAGTTAATTAATAACTGCCTCCTTCTAGACAACTTAACCTTTCCGTTTCACAAATAATCTTAGTGTTGTTGCCAGGTACTTGCACAAAGACAGGGCCATTGGCACCCCACTATCAGAAGATTTTTAAGATATCTTCGGCGGGAAGCGGTCCTAAAAATAGTATGCAATGTAGACTGCTTGCAACACTACGTTGCAAGCAGACTCATAAAGCAAGCAGTTGCTGTTCAAGCCAAGATCATTCAAAAGAAACTCGTCTACTGCCAACTCTGCTAGTGAAATTTCTATGACCATCGTTTCAACTTGGCTGTGTCTGTCTGTTACTTTTCTGTGACAAAATTTACTTCGATGTGCAACTCTACTGCGCAAAATCGTTCTATGGAGAAGTTCGAACTTCGAGACTTCAACGCTCAGAATTCGCATCCGTCGATCATAGGCATCGAGGAGTTTGAACATCCCCATTAGACAGCAAGACTAGAACTATTTGGAAAAGGACGTGAACATGCAGCTTCCATCGACGACGAGACGAGACCAGCAAGCGTTTCAAGATGATGATCAAGTTTTCAATTCTTTCGTCGTGTCTTCGGAGAACGAAAACGATCCCAGAAAGCAGCGACGGAAGCTTTATGATGATCCGATACATTCAAACCACTTGATCTGCGAGATAAGCAGCATCAGCAAGTTGAAAAGATTGCCCTTGAAACCGCTATTGTTCTCGTGCAATCTGCAAACGGTTTGCTATCAAGAATAAAACAGGAGTGACAAGCAGTATGCATCTTGGTACTGAATGGAGATGTTCCCATTTCAACTTCAATATGAAGCGACAGTTTCGGCGGACGCAGACCTAGAATGGAACCGCTTTCTTCCGGTACCGCAATCCAAGTTGACGCAAGACATGGTGAACAATTGAGTCTGCGAGCGAATGAGTTTGTAGCGTTTAAAACTGTTTGACTAGGGGTACAGCTAAAGATGGGAGTACCTGTTTGATAACTTTATAGGGGATATCAGTAAAACATTTAGGATATGTGGGACATTTCGTAAGCCCATAGCAAATTCCTTAACTCTTTTTGAATTTTGGAGAACGCGCTTTTTGAGGGGATGCCCCTACAACTTGTTCGTTAGATTAATCTCAGATTTGACAAGGTAGTTTTGAGAAAATCAAAACACGGACTTTTTGCACGTTCAACATCGCACTTTTGTAAAAAAAAAATAAATAAAGGCAAATGCGCTATGCAGAGAGCTGTTCTTCCTATTGAACCCTTAATATCAGACTGGGCAGGGCAGTTGTTACATTTTGTATGACCATAACATGTTTTCTACGAAACTTGGGGCGTAGTCGCTTATGAAGGTAGTAACATATCACCTGTTCTTTCAATTGACTTCTTAATCTCAGATTTGGTAGGGTAACTTGAGAAAAACCAGAACTTCCAAAAAAACGGTCAAAATCGGACATTTTCTATGACGATAAAAATTTAACAAAGTCGAAAAAACGACGCGAAGTGTCGAAAAATAGATATATCTTCAGTCCATAGAGGATTCAATCTCAGAACTGTCAAACTCCGCTTATGCAGATATAACTCCAAAACTTGTTCCTTCGATTGAACCCCTAGTCTCAGATTTGGCACCGTAGTTCTCGCGAACACCAAAAAGGTTCCAAAAAGCAGTCAACATTTCGAAAAAAAATTCTCGAAAATAGCTTTTCTACAAAAATGAGCGCGTAACTGCTTCACAGAAAAACTTTTTCGCACGTTTATTTCGATTGAACCCTTAATCGCGCATTTGGCAAGGTAGCTATCGAGAAAAGTCAGAATTTCCAAACAACGGTCAAAACTTCAAAAATTGAACTTATTCTGAGGTCATCTTTTCTTTCAAAAATGGGCATATTTGCTTGCACAGATAAAATTCTCAGAACTTGTTATTTCGATTAAAGCTACAGGTTGTGGCAGGATATCAGATTTGGCAGGGTAGTTTTCGAAAACTTCCCAAACAAAGAACAAAATTTGAAAAAATGTACATAATCAAGGATATAACTTTGTTTCTTCAAAAATAAGCGCCAAAAAACTTGTGCAGACAAGATTCCCAAAATATGTTTTTTTTTCTATTAAATTCTTAATCTCACCTTATAACGTATGGTAGTCACGCTCCTAGAAATTAAAAATATCAAGGAATTGTAAAAACTAACTGCCCTCTACAAACTAACTGCCCTCTACGGGAACTGAATCACAAGCCTATCAAACACTAGCCCCTGATGAATACGAGAAAATATGCTGACAATGTCAAAAATATGCAGCAAAAAGTTTATCAAAATGATCACTATTTTATGCACGTGGGATCGGAGAAAAAAAGAGCCTTTGTAATAGACAACAGTAATCGCTTGTGCAATAACTTATGTTTGTAAAACACAAGGAGACATAAAATCTACAAAAACCACATCTTTTCTACCTTGCAGGCAATTTTTAAACGTTTCGACTAAAAAAAGCATTGTTTCTTAACATTGAACTTAATTTCTAAACTGTTTCGCTCCCAAGCCGACTTCGCAAGATTTTCAAATTTCACTCAGAAGCAAAGCTACACTTCGCAAATACTAGCGAGATCACGATATAAAACGAATCTCTATAAAACAAAATTAGAAAAAGTGGAAATAAGCCTCGAATTAGTAAAAATTCGGCTACGTATCGGATTCGATCCCGCGACCTAGAGATTTTGAATCAAACGCACTAACCACTCAGCCACAGACGCGAAGCTTGACTGTTCATAAACACTAGCCAAAAATAAAGCACAGAACAGATGAGATGAAGTTTCCAATGCTAAAGATCGTGATCATATGAAAAGTGCCACCAAATGAGTACTTTTATTAGCGTGTTAGGTTGGGAAAAAAGAAGGTTCGAACTAATACACTACGCTCGCTAAAGCACTCAGGTGTATTACGAAATTTTTTGAATAACGTGAACTTCAACACACACACACACACACACACACAGAGAGAGAGAGAGAGACAGAGAGAGAGAAAGACACTTTAATTAAGGTATAGACAAAGCATAATGCTTAATATACAAAATAGTGTAACTTAAAAAAGTACACTTTGTAGAACGTAAGAGAAAAATGTGGCAGCGCTAAATTTGTGTTGACAATTGAGTTAAAGGGTTATCAACTGAACCGGAAATCCCGCCAAGTATGAGCATTGCTTATTTCGACATTTGATTTTAGTTGAATCTCTAACAAATATTTTTTCAGTCTACTTTTGAAAACAAGTTCACTTAAATTAGTATCCCGATTATGTGACGGTAGTCAGTTCCAGTTTACAGAAGTCATAAAGAAAAAAATTAACTGAAGAAAACAGATGAATTTTTTCCTTGAAGGACAATAATGTTAGATCTCAAATTAAGTCGATAATTGGCTGTTGGTAAGAACAGGTCATGTTTGAAAGGTTTTTTATGTTTGATGTACTGAAAAAAATAACATAATGACTTGTGTTTCAAAGTATTTCTGACACTGACAATACCTTTGTTAAGTCTGAGTTCTTCGGACGACTTGAATTTCGAAGGAAAAAATACTTGT